TTAAACGTGTTTCGTTTTCCTTTCTGAAAAGAGAAAAATAAGATAATAAGAATTTCAGAGCTGTAACAGCATCTCATCTTCACCCAAAAGAATGGGGAAAAAAAGGTAGTTAATAGACCATCTTTTTAGTACTATTAACTGGTTAGCCAAGATGCAGCCCAGAATTAGTAAGCCCCAGAGAGAGGCAGACTTAGTGAATTTGAAGCGGCATCACTCCAAACATTAGTTCGTTCTAAGTGTGAGTTGTGAACTTCTGACCTGTCTGCGCGCAGGGAACGTGTGGACTGATTTCTTCAGCAGAGCAGGGCACGCAAGGCACATTAGAAGTCTTTGGAGTTTGGATTGTTGTGTCGACAAGAGCAAATGAATACACTGGAAGTGCAGTTTCTTGCTGCCAGCTGACTTTCTGCCCACACCTCCCAGTTCGTGGCCTCACATATTAGCGAAAGTCCTGTTCATTCACAGTTTAAGCTGTTAACGCTGAGCTGTGAACTGGGATGACAGAGTTCTCACCATGTGCTCCCCTGTTTCGGAATGCTGAAGGTTGGCCACTTAACCAGGAGGACAGGAAAACTTTGAACCACCTCTGCCAGACTGACTAGAAAGCTTACGACTTCATCAGAACCTTTAAACTGTGTTTGACGTTAATGCTTGTGTTTTGGTTTTATTTTACTTTTTCTCGTGAAAAATGGTTAGCTGGTAGTTCGATACTATGTGTATTTTAGATTAATATGATTAACATTTGTTGCTTCCTGACATATAAACCCCAATACTTTTCTCCTTATCCACAGAACAACATGCTGGACTTCGTGTTTGCTGTTGATGATTCTGTGACCTGGCATATGATGAACTTGTTAAAGAACAGGAGTCATTATTCCTTCCTAAAAGTCTTTGGACCAAAACAAATAACTAGTATACAGAGCTATGGAGCAGGGATTTACTACAATACTTTAGTGCCCTGTAACGGTAGGGTAAGTACAAGTAATTTGAGTAAATAAAGTCAAATGTTTGTGCGTGAAGTATTAAAATGATTAGCTTAAAGCGTATTTCTGTGCAGAAAGAAAATGTGGATTGCAAATGGTCCTTAACTTGAGGTATCTTCAATATTTATACCTCAAACTGTTTCACAAATAGCACATTAATTAAAACGCAATCAGAGCGGCTGCCCTTGTGCTTTAAAAGTGAGCTATGTTTGCGATTTACGACCAAAGCACTTCAGAAACTGAATTTATACTCCTTTTTGCTTGCTGCCTGCCAGTTTTGGTGGTTGTGAAGTGTATCATGTGGGGAAGCAGGGCCTTAATTTCAGCAGTTGACCACATAGTAGTAGCAAAGTGGATTCTTACTGCTTGTTTGACGTAAAATGCAAATATTTAACATAGTGAGATGGAATTGACATGTGTTATTTAATGGCTAACATCCTGACCTGTGAAGCTTGAGTATGATTAATAATTCTAGGTGAGCAGTACTTGTCCAGCAAGTCCTACCCCTGCATCTGTGTGCAGAGTGTGTTTGGTAAGGAGTGCTGATGGGAGTCAGGGGAGGGAAACGCTGGCTGTCTGTCATGGTGTTGATTCTGAGTAACTTCTGCTGTGG